ATGATCCCACCGCTGCCACCAAATGTCACAGCTCGCAAGAATTTTTCAAAATATTTTACTTAGAGACTAGCTGAATAACAAAGAACTCCCTTTCAAATAAGGCCAACTGGCTTTATATATGCACAAATTATTAATAATTAGTTAATTAATTAATATACATTAATGGTAATAATCCAGTTTCTATACAGTTCCATGACACTTTATAATTATTTACTCCATGGTATGGTTCTGTAGTGGTTGCTATGATTCATAAAAGTGCTAATATAATTCATTGTCACTGTTATTGTCACTGTTACAGTAACTATATACTGTAGTCACAACATCTTTGAATATCATTACAATATTTAAGACTAACTGCCTTTTTCTTGACCTTTTTGACTTGGTTTAGCCTCCTGGTCTTTCTAAATATCTAGCCTCTTGAGTCACTCATTCTTTAGGATCAGTGGCGTAGCCAGGGTTATGATGGTGGTAGGGCACACTATGGACAAGTGAACTTCACATACAATTTATAGACAAGAGAACAGTCAGAACACTATGACAGTTGGTAGGGCACAAGCATAGACTGGTGGGCATGTGCCCCACTGTGCCCTACCCTGGCTACGCCACTGTTTAGGATTCTGTTTGTTACATAAAGGTACAGAACATGCACTATATACTAATTGTGTACATAAAAACATAATTTTGTTTTTGCTGTCTTACCCTATTATACAGGAATTTAATCAGGTTGACTATCAAAGCTGTCAAAGTTAATCCTAATTCTAGAGGTCATCACTCATCAGGGCCATCTTTTCTCAGTCACTTTGATGCTCGGATTGTTCAAAGTTCTCAACTTACTTCTTGCTGTACATATTAGAGACATTAAATGGCATCCAAACAATCTTCATCTTCTACCATGCCTAGTTGCAACTGACAAATCAGATTGCTTGATTTTAGGTTCATAAATAACTTATTTACCACTGGGAGGTATAATAATTAATTTCTCGGGCAATAGAAGGTTGATAACTAAGTAATTTCCGGACAGTCGGAGGTTAATAAGTGGCCCGGGAGGTTAATAAGTTTGAGCAGGAAATTACTTATTAACCTCCTGCTTAAAATAGGCATGCTGTTGCTAAGTAAACTACCGTATAGCAAAAAATTTTGGAGGGACAAAAATTTGGCGAATTTGGCGAATAGAGTTTCATTCGCCAAAATAAAAACCGCCATTTTGAGCCTTTATACGCATGCTCAATGGCACATGGCCACTAATTCGCCAAATTAAAATCCGCCAATAACCAAAATTTAGCAATTCGCCAAATTTTACTCCCTCCAAAATTTCCTGCTATACGGTAGTTGTTTATTTTAGTACATGGTAAAAGTTGGTTATACAACTCTGTGTCAATACCCTATAGCAGTAAATTTTTGAGGATAGAGTCAGCATAGATTATATATACAGGGATAAGAAACATTCCAAACCGGATGATGCAATCCGGGTTACTTCCGGTCACTTATCTATACTACCCACGTGTAATTATGGCTAATTTATTCTTCAGTAATAAACATGTAAAAATGTTTGTAAAGTAAAATTGATTCAATTACATGACTTCAAGGGAAGCACACATGTCTTACTAATGTATTAAGTACTTCTTTTAAGTAAAATTAAAGCAAAAGACAAAAGTTACAGAATAACTTAGTAACTTAAAACATGAAATTTATAAAATTGTAAAAAAATAACAAAACATTCTCCTGTCACAAGACCCATACAGTACTATCTAGTTAGGTATATTCTATCAATCTGAAAGGACAAAACCTCCCAAACAAGATCATGTTGTGAGTGAATGTGTGAACAGTTTATTCCTTTTACAACAAGAAACTGGACATTTTATAACCAGTTTTGTATATAAAACGATGCAGAATAACAAGATGAATCAAAAGAAAGTAACCAAACTGGAATAACAAGAACGAGCTTCCAATAAATGTGGAAAAACCTCATCAAAAGTACACACGCCATTGAGTTATGCCACATAGCTTTCCGTATAATACTCCATATCTGGATCTCTGGTGCTAGTAGAAGAGCGGTGTGGTTTTCCCTTTCACATGATACCAAATTATTGTTGGTATTCAGCAGCAAAAGCAAGTTCTCGCCTGTTTTATCATCAGCAAAACTCGAGGCAAAACTCTTCCATTACTGTAGAGAGCGGTAACTCTGATTGTTTCACTCGTGTGACGTCACTCCCATTGAATTTATATGGGAGTGTTGGAATGTTTCTTATCCCGGTACGTATAAATAATCTATGGAGTCAGCAACCAACTATCGCACACCATCGATATTCGAACACTTTTTCTCACAGTTCAGTGATCAGAAGCCAGTGACAATAATTTTAACTTGTAGATCAGATGTTCCTCTACAGCTGTAGCAACTTTCATAGAGATCCGTCTTTGCTGTGTTTTTATAATATTTTTTTAGTAGAAATTTCGAACACATGCAAGTTCGCATAGACGCCATGTATTGTCGTTTACCTATTTTCGCTCAGTAATGAAGTAACTGGCAAACAATTCATCATATTCATATCAAAGCCCTGTCTTTCTGCTCCATGATGCACTATTCAGTTACAAGAAGGAGCTAGTCTTCACTGCGCTAGAGTTGGTTCTTTGGAAGAAAAGACACACGTCTACATTCGATCAAAATTTTTTAATTTTAATTTTTTTGTTAAGAGCTAATGGGCAAAAGAAAAATTTTAACATTCTTAAAATTAAATTTTATTTAAAAATAATAAAAATATGTAAAATTTGAACGAATGTAGATGTGTGTCTTTTCTTCCAAAGAACCAACTCTAGCCGAACCGCACCCTACCGGAATTCCCTTTCTTTAAAGAAATTTCTTTGCACTCGTAACACCCACGCAATAATATTCTAATGAATTTTAGAATAATAAAATGGGTGTTACTAGAATGCGGAATTCTGCGGAATAGTCGCGAAACGGTTGTCCCTAAAAAGCGGACCGGACCGGACCAACGGACCCGAAAAGACTAATTTACGGACCGAGCGACGGACCCGATACAAACTAATTTATGGACCCGACCAAGGGACCCAAAAAGACTAAAGTACGGACCCCGCGTTAATGACCACGGACCTGACCGACCTAGAGCATAGATATCTATGCTAGCATCAGTATTTATGATGCTAGCAAACTCCATGATGGCCTAGACAACATACAGAACTTCAATGACAAATATAATTTTTATCTATGGAGATAGATCTACTATCAGTTGAGTAATAATACAATGCAGTGAGGCCGTAGTTTATTGATAAAGTCTGTAATATCAACTTGAATTAATTTTACACTTGTTCAAAACTAATAATAATATTATATCTAGTAGACTATAATAATTAATTGTTATATTCATGCATCAGCAATTTATGTATTAATTTATTTATTTAAACTTGACAGTGACCGGCAATGAGAATAGAGTTAAGAGGCTAGATAAAAGAAACACCAAAGGCCTGACCAAGGAAACATGGCCAGCCAGAAAGAAAAAGAAAAAAGATGAGAAAAGGAAGAAAAAGAAACAAAAAAAACTAATAAGAAAAAGTAAAAATACAATCAAAATTAAAACGGTAGTAATGATGATAATAATAATGATAATTAACTGAATCTAATGGAAAATAAATCAACATAAATAATAGTAATACTGGAACTGATCCCAAAAGTAGTTCTTGTTAATATTATGTAG